CGCGTAGCAGCATGGTAGGATGCTGTGTCACCCCGTCCGGTCGGCGTTTATTTCCAGCGCCGGCCGAAACATACTCGAACCCTAAGACGAAGTCCGTCGACGGGCGGTGGAATCCTTTGATGTGTCTCTGTTTCCAACATGTCGGAAAAAGCAGACGATCTTCACCATAGTCAGAGTGGATACATCGGGGTGGTCGTCGTACGGGGGCTTCCCCTTGTGGACCTCCACATCCTCGCCAGACCCCGCCCCGAAAACCCACTCGTCCGGTGGGTTGGAGGAAGCTGCTGCTCGCGCGTCCCCCCCTTTCCAACGCTCGCTGCCGCTGCTGCTCCTCGCAGAGGCGGTGTGATTGAATCTAGAACACGAGGCTGTGTCGCTGTCCAGCGTTAGTGGGTTCGTCCAACAGAAGGGACAGCGACTGTCTACGCAACGCTCTGGTCGAGACCGCCGCCCGCATCCGTAGTAGGTTTTGTACGCCGTGACCACCTCTGCACGGCCTGGACGAAAGCGTCCCGTAGATACGACCTCCTGCCAAGACCCTGCGCAATTCGTTGGTTGTCCGGCCTCAGCAAGAAGAGTTGCCTCCCAAAGTGCCGAACCCTGATGATGGGAGCCTGCTAACATTGATGTAGTTGGCTCCGATGCAGCCGAAAGGTCGCTTGGGTCCCCTAGTCCTCCCGGCAGTCCTCCCGGAAGCTCTTTCATCAACTGTTGTACGACTCGGATACAGCCAACTCCGGGGCGAACGGTGACCTCCTCTCGATTTTTTGTCGAGCGGTTGTACTTCATCACAGAGTATGGTAGGCCGTTCGCCATGGCATGCCATGCGCACATGGTATTCATGTGACGCATATAGTGCGCTGGGACGTCTCTCCCGCTGCTAGATTTGTTTCCCCTCTTGTGTTTCTGGTGGGCGAACTCCCCGCTAGAGGCGTTGGGCATATGTCCTGACGCGTCGGCAGAAAAGAAGGAGGGAATTGGGTATGGAAAATATAATGAGACCTTTTTCATGGTGTTGGCACAAAAGATGTACAGTGCTACACGACGTACTTATTTCGAGGGACGTTCGCCCATACATGCAGACGTTACGGTGACGCCTCCATGTAGAAGTAAAAATACCACAAACTCACCGTGGTTATTCACAGCATCCGAGTAGTGGAGGATGCTGTGCATTGAAGGCCTCACGCCGTCCCTCCCGATAACTTGCTTCGCCGTGTGTACCTATAGATGCGCAAGAAAATTAAATTACAAGACATCAAAAGAGAGGGGGCGTCGGGGGCAGTGTAAAGGTACCACACCTGAACGGCATCCCAAACGAGGGAGGCCACGATGAGGCTTCAAGGGTCTTGGCGTTGTGCAGACTACACCCGTCAAGAAAATTTATGTCCCACAAGCAATATTTGAGCATGTGAGGTTAGTTTACGAAAAAAATAACGGAGTAGTCATACGTCGAAGAGGGGATATGTGGGTAATATGCCCACACTCACGGACCGTTCGTTAATACATGAAGCCACGTCTCGTCTTATCTCACCATATCTAGCGCATGCGTGTGTAGCTGTTTTAGTTCCTCATCGTTGTGGGAAGGCGCTCGAACTGCAAACGACAACGCAGATGCGGATTGCACGAGCGTCAGCATTCCCTCCCACGCGGCGTTTTGCCCTCTCCACTCTGAGACCAGAGTCTTCATGAAGTCCTGTTTAAAGTATTTCGCCTGTTGTGGGTGGGCAGAGAGATAGAAGGGGTAGTTAGAGAGAGTAAGAGAGCCGAGACAAAGAAGAATTTCAATTTGCACGCGGAACGTAAAAGAAGCGGATGAAGTGGTGGCGTAGCAGACTATTATATATTATTCTATTTCTCCATGGAAAGGGCGACGACCTTAATAACCTACCGTATATGACACAAGATAACACACCCCCTTGGCCGATTTTCAAAGCTCGATTTCTCAACAGCAGGAAGAGTCACAGCGCCGAAAACGGTGGCGTTGGAACCGTCTCGTCGAGAGCTGTTCGAAAACGTATTGTTTCATTTATGCATCCTCTTCGTCGTGGAGTAATCGAGCTTTGAAAATCGGTCCAGGGGGTGTGTTATCTTGTGTCATATACGGTAATCAGGTCTTCTGAGCACACACGCGGTCTCACCATGGACCACGAGCTTTGAAGAACCGGTCGAAAGACAAGCAGCATGATGGAGGACAACAGCCACTTATTGCTGCCCGTCAGGGAAGAGTAGTTGGTGACGATATCCTTTAGTGGTGCCTCGCGTGGTGGATACAAAGCGTGACCGTGCTCCCTGATGATGGCGGACACGAGTTTCCGGCCCGCCGGATTCAATCTCGTCAGGATGAAACTCTGAACGAGGGACTGGACGTTCTACGTCGCGCAAAACGATGACACACACGTTAAAGAAAACAGAGGAGGAATGTGCATGCCAAATATTATTACGACGGAGCACAAGTAGACATCAGACAAAACAATACATAATAATCTCTCGCACGAACATAAACATGTAGGTACGTTAAGCTACGGCCCTCATCACCCTTGCCATGCACTCGCTTTCTCCACGGCGACATCGCGCGAACGCGACTCCCGAATGCCATTTTTCTCCACGCGGCGACGTCATTTTGTTCTCATGAGGGTTTTGAGCCCAGGTGTGGTGTCGCCCGATGATACAATAATATATGTATCTACACTCTCAATTACCCGAACTTACCAAGGCATCCGCATGCAGGCTTTCGACTGGGGTTGCCTTGAGCGCATCGATCTTGACGATGTCGTGCAATGGCCATATTGGTTGTTCCGGTACTGGAACCGCCACACCGAGTTCCTTTGAGGCGGTCGCTTGGGCCGCTGGCGTGGGGGCCAACTCAGCAAGAGTACGTCTCCCCCTCAAAATCTGTCCTCTCGTTCTCCGATTCGATTCTATGTCATACTTTGGTGACCCCAACTCTCCACCGTCGTCTCCAAATTGCCCCACGAGGCAGTAAGGGCACGGATGCAAGGTGGAAGCGTTGGGATGCTTGCAGTATAGAATGAGCGCTCGTTGTGGCGAGTCTGCCACGATCAGCAACACCCCGCCTCGGACAAACACCTGCTGAAGCCGAACGCACGAAGAGGATGTTATTCGGTTGGCCAGAGCAAATGCAAACGCGCGTGATTTGGGCATGTGTAATGAAGTACCGACTGTTTTTTTAGGCAGCGCCCAACACAGCACGACGCTATTCTTTGTTGATACATTTGTTGTGCTTGTGGACATGAGAATACATACTGAGAGGAAAACGATATATATATAAGCACCACAAGCGACATGCCCCGAAGTATGGGGTTGACGCACCTCGACTTCCTTCCACCTCCCATTCCGATCTTGCACAAAAGCTCTGGCGATGCACCCCTTTTCAAGTTCATGCAGAATCTTGCATTGCAGAAGCATTTCCCCCTCGCACGACGCCCCCGGAGAAGAGACTGTGGCAACGTGTATCTCTAATTTCCTTCTCTGCAGAGCTAAGCTATTCCACGCCCAGCTCAGGTACGTCCCTCCCACCGATTTCTTGTTTCCGAGACCGTGGGCATTAAATCCATCGATGTGGTAGTTGACTGGCACGCTCACAAACGGCCTGTTCGAGACGTTGTGAAAGTATCCATCCCCGCGGATGGTATAAAGCGGTTCATCCAGAGTGCCCTCCAGCGTCCACGGCTCGGACCGTTGGTATAGCGGCGATGTGGATGATGCTGCGCCACCGTGTGCGTTTCGCTTCCGGTTTCCCGCCTCGTTTTTTGGCAGGAGTAACAAACGCCACACCGACACAAGCTAACGGTTGTATGTCGCACACACGTTCCCCTTCTTTCCAGTCCGGGATTCTGTCTTGGCGAGCTTTGACGTCGGCTTCCGGGTAGATTTCGCACAAGTCCTTGATGTCAGCGGTCCCCACCTCCTCCGTGATGGACTTGTCTGTGCCTTGTGGCTCCCATACTCTCATGAATTGCACACCGTAGGCTGTCAAAATCGCACCCCTACCATCAGTTTCATCCTGGGCGACATCGATCGCCGGTTTGAACGGGCGTACTGACGCTACCATTTTTTTCTTCTCAGCATCCCAAAAAACCTCCAAGACTCGGCAAACGCTATTATTGTTGGTCGCACCAGTACCATCCTCTTGTAGTGCGACTATTGCGACGTCGTTTACGTGAACTGTCCTCCCCTTCGATCCAGGCGGCCTAATACCGTCGTAGCCGTAGTGAGGGTTTGATCTAGCTAGGACACCGTGCATGTTTGCACGTCTCCGGTTGCCCACAGGTCTCTCGGGGCCACAAAAAATGTGCTCAGAGGCCAGATTGGACCCAACTGCCTCGTTTCTAGAAAGTTGCTTTCCTCCCGGGTTGCGTAAGAACGTCTTCATCGACGACGAAGCTTCCAGCTGGCGTTTGAGTATCAAGTTCGCCGGGACATCGTACACAATCGAAGTGCTATCTTTGCCCCCGGCAGCGATGGCGGTGGGCGAGCACCGCACGTCTCGCTTGTACACTTCGTACAAGTTCATACAGTCGCGCGTCCTTGCAACGAAGTGCTCGGCTTGTACGCCGTCTAGGTCTTTGATGTCAAATCCACCCCCTGTTTCAGAATCTTTGAACCGAAGCATAAACAATAACCCGGCCAACGTCGCCCGTGACATCTGCTCCTTTGTGACTAACTGCATCAACAACAAATGGGATTGGGTCTTGAAGGGATACCACGGTGACTTTTCCGCCTTTGTGTTGTACCTAAGGTTTTGGGCCCCTCCTTCCATGAGGACTGCACCGAGCGCTGCGCAAATAGGCTTGTGGTAAGTTCCTAGGCGCGGCATGTGGCTGTCACTTGGTTCTGAGATCGGTGCACCCGCCGCACCGCCTATACCAGCGTCATCAGTCGGTTTCGCTTCTCCTATCTCAGCACCAGGCGAATCCAACTTAGCGTCAGAATCGTCGTCGACATGGCCATGGTCTACGTTGTCGGCATTTGCCCAGCCTATGTCATCCATGAAGCCTGAAAACGCCATGGCTAGCGTCATGGGTGTTTTGGGCCCAGACGCGGCCCCACACGTCTTCATATACCTCCTGCAAGAGCACATGGCGGAACATGTGAGTTGAATCTTTGTGTCCCTGTCAGAGAGAGTGTTGCAAAACACATACATACGCACGTCTCGTTATAATCTAAGCTTGTGCTTTTGTGTTTCTTGCGTAGATGCGGGTGCATTTTTTTGTGGTGTTGACTGAAATTTTGCCGCCGAAGTCCTCGAATCGTGAGTTTCCCACCATCCGGTCGGTCTATAATATAGACGCACCACCTTCCGTAGGTGGCACAATATGCCACAACCCCTGGGCCGATTATAAAAAGCTAACCTCAGTCCAGGACCATGAAGATGCAGAAATGAAACGCCACGTTTTCGGAGAGCTCTCGACGAGATGGTTCATGCCGCCGTTTTGGTTGTGCCAGTTACTGTGTGGCAAATATCGATATTGTTCACAGCAGCAGGGGGTGCGGTATCTTGTGTCACCTACGGCGGTACATGTGGGGCTTGGCGTCGTGTGGAGGTGGAACCACAACTACTAACTTATATGTATCCTTGGTAACCCAGGATCGTCGTACATGCCGACTGGTGACACGAGTAGGAGTCTTGTGTACATTGATGTCTTGTGCTCGCCGTTCAGCCCGAGGATGATTGATGGTTGTGTTTGCACCGACAAGCGTGGTTTCAGCATTCCCATCGTCGCAGACTAAATAGCATAGAACCCACGACTTCTCTCTCACGCGTCGCTGGATTTTCCGCCCCCGATCTTGTGCTATACGGACGATATGCATCTCGCAGGTGCAGCTGGTTTTCTCCCCCATGTTCGGCGGCAGCGCGGAGACCGCGGCGACTCCTGCAGTTCACAGCGGCAGGCAGTCCGGAGGCGCAAACCGAGGTTTTACCGCCGGCATCTCCGTTGTCTGGAGTCACGCCATCATCGGCGACCAACAGCTGAACTTCTCGTTTGGGATGGGGAGGGCGGACCCTGCCACGAATCCGTGGTGCCGGATGTCCTACGGGTTCTGGGAGCCCGGTGGGATGAAGTGCGCGGCGTTCATGAGTGAGTGCTGTGTCTCTGTTTAGATATTTTGGTGGTCTTGTTGACGACTTGCAATGGCACAAGGATTATGGCTAGGCCATGACGTATACCGGCTGTGCTGTGATCGTAATATATACTATTTCTCCCGTACTAAGACTGACGTGAAACACACTACATTTCGCCTCGATGTCGAACATGGACGTTCACGCCACGCAACAAGCCTACCACTTTCGTAGGAGTCGGACAAACGACCTGCTCTAATCGCGCATGCGTCCGGAAATAGACTTACCTTGCTTGTGGCGGGCTGTTTATTGTGGCGACTAGTACACGAGCGAGTATCAATACTGTCGGGTGACTCATTACAGATGTCTCGCTGCAGCGCTACACCCGCGATTCACCGCCGTGGAACGTGACGTGATGCGTTGCGCCGTCTGCATTTTCGGGGGGGGGGGGGTGTACTAGGTATCATGCATGCCGTAGTCGTTAAGACCATAGACCTCGCATGGGAGGGGGAGGGGGGGTGTTCCGATGTGGCAGCTACATTCTGTTTGTTGTCTCCTGGGTCGGCAAAAGGTTCTTAACAGTTGTGCCCTCTTTGTCCATGCGTGCCTGACGAAGTCCGTTCAAAACCGTCTGTCATTTATGTCTTAACGCCCTCCAAACACAGAGACCTTTCGGCCCGCGCTCCAGTCCGCACGTGCCACGTGGCACAAGGCCGTGAGGCTGGCCGTCATGATCTACATCCTCTCAGTGCTGGAGAGTTTGTCGGACGAAGACAGCGACCAGATCACGGACGAGATCCTGAGGGCAGCGTCCCGGGCCGTCATTGCATTTGACCCTGCGGTCGTGGCAAAGACCGACGTGAGTATGTACAGATGTGTCATGTCGCGCGTGGTGGGTCGTAGAAACACATTATCTCTTGCGCCACCAGCAGAAAACGGCAACCTGCCGACCCCCGCTTCGCGTCTAAACGTACCAACCCAATCGGTCGGTCATGTTATTGTTGTTGCGTGGCATATGTGTGCAGTAGTTTCGCGGCAAGTTTCAAAGCGTGCCCGGAATCGACGATCCTCGATTATATACAAACGATGGCTAATACCCTCTTTACTTCCTTCGACCCCTCTTCGTGTCTATTTCTCCCTAACCCACGCAGGACATGCGCATCTTAGTGGGAGCCATCCTCGACTTGCCCCTACAGGCCCACAGGACGGGAGGGTGGGATTCCTTCGAGCCGGACGACGTATGGGGGGGGGGACTGTCCTGTTCGTTGACAAGGTGAGCACAAATTTGGACAGCCTAGCGTGTAGCCCTTCCAGCCATGTATTAAAATTAGTTTGGTCATGACTTGAAGACCGTGCAAGTTTGGACAGCCTAGCGTGTAGCCGGTGCAGCCACGTCTTGATTTTCTTTGTCTCATGACTTGAAGACCGTGCAAGTTTGGACAGCCTAGCGTGTAGCCGGTGCAGCCATGTCTTGATTTTCTTTGTCTCATGACTTGAAGACCGGTGTTTATTATGTCCTCGATGCCGCGTACTCCGTTCGGTCGCCGCGTGTGATGCATTCTATTATTCTACTCACACTCACTCCCTACACCTCTCGTACCTGTTGTGGGGTCGTTTGGCTTCCTTGTTGTCATGGCAACACACGCACAGGTAGCCCTGCCAATGGTGGAGGTGGCCATCGGGCTGATGAAGGTGATCATCGACGACGAGGAGTTGGACAACATGGCCATGGCCATCAAGCGGGTCAGACGCTGGGCCGTGCTCGAGCAGGGCGGGTCGTCCAATACCGTGTTCCAGAAAGAGTGAGTGCAACGTAGGTCCGGCGTGTAGGCAACGTTGAGACCACCCAGATATAACATGGTATTTTGTTTAGTGTGTGTGTGTGCGTGCGTCCGTTGGACCAAGCTTGTGTTCCATCACGCCCTTGACATGTGGGAGCCAATTTGGTCCACACCGGTCCTTCCCAGCAGCAAAATGTGTTTGTGTGATCAACATTACTCTGTCGTCCTACAAACCCGTGCATTCCACCGGTGTTGCATGTCGTGACACCTCCCTCTTCTTGTCTACTTTGCCCTCCGTCTTGCCAACTATCCTGCAGGTTCTTTCGGCGCGTGTTCCTTTGGGCGCATGGAGCTGGCCAGAACCTGGAGGGCTGCCTCGACATCACGATGGAGACGATCGGCTGCACCGATTACGAGGCACTAGCTTGCCCGTACTTGAAGCCGGGTACGCTTTTCAAGTTTTACTGTAGCACAGTGTTATTTCATTAAGACTCTTTTTAATGCCTACTGGGCGAAATATGGATCTTGGGAGGGGTGGTGGGGTGGGTTGGTTCGTCTGCGTGGGATTGCTGTGCATACCTGATCTATTGTTTTAGTAACCCATTCACAACAAAAGGACGCATCTGCTACTTTGGTCGCGTTCGCTTTTGTACCCCTGCGTGCATGTGACGAAGAATTTCACCTCTTGTGTATAGGGCTTTTGTGGTGCCTTGATGCTTGTTCACATGGTAACGGACGCAAACAGCGACAGGCACATTGGTCAGCTCCCCTAACCCTTTCCAATCTTGAATACAATTTTGTACACGCGATTATACTCCGTCCTTCACCTTCCGATTTTTCTCCTTGTGGTGTCCTCAAACTTAAACATGTGGCAGGTGCACGCAAGGGCCCCGATGTTGACTCCTGTGACGAGGTGCCCGAGACCCTCGCCCCCGCCAACTCCATGCTCTCTGATGGTGACGACGGCTCGGACGGCGACGCCGAGGGTGTGGTCATGGAGGAGGTTTCGACCTGATCTTCTCTTTTTTGCCGGCGTTTTGTCAGGCGCGGGTGTCGATTTCATGTAGCTCCTTCATGATGCCTGACATGTTTGTTTAAATTCAGGCGTGCGTCGCCGCGGTTGTATTGTATGTAGGTATTCTGACCGCCCTGGCGAGTTAAATCAGGCACAAGGTTGTAGTGTTCTCTCTGGTTTGTATTTTCCGAGGTGTGTCTTGAACGACACAACACACGCCAGATTTGCAGCAATGTGGTCTAGAGACCCGGTGCGTCCTGATGGTACTAGCAGTTTATCTTTGTAGCGCCACCATGTAATCTTAATCTTGGGTGAATTATATAATAGTGCATACGTCACCTTCATAGCCCACGGAGGTGTCCTCCTGTACATAACACCTTTGCAGAATACGTCCACGCTTACTAGTTGGATCATGGTTATATGTTTGTTTACGTGCACCCTGTTTAAATTCAGGCGTGCGTCGTCGCGGTTGTATTGTATGTAGGTATTCCGATCGTGATGATGGGTTAAATCAGGCACATAGCGTAGTACATGTAGTGTTATCTCTGGTGTGTATTTTCCGAGGGGTGTCTTGAACGACACAACACACGCCAGATTTGCAGCAATGTGGTCGAGAGACCCGGTGCGTCCTGATGGTACTATTATAGTAGTTGATCTCTGTAGCGCCACCATTTAATCTTAATCTTGGGTGATTTATATAATAGTGCATACGTGACCTCCATAGCCCACGGAGGTGTCCTGTAGAAAACACCTTTGCAGAATACGTCCACGCTTACTAGTTGGATCATGGCTATATGTTTGTTTACGTGCACCCTGTTTAAATTCAGGCGTGCGTCGTCGCGGTTGTATTGTATGTAGGTATTCCGATCGTGATGATGAGTTAAATCAGGCACACAGCGTCGTACATGTAGTGTTATCTCTGGTGTGTAATTTTCCAGGGGTGTCTTGAACGACACAACACACGCCAGATTAGCAGCCTTGAGACCCGGTGCGTCCTGATGGTACTAGGACCTTAGCGCCACCATTTAATCTTAATCTTGGGTGAATTATATGTGGTGCATACGTCACCTCCATAGCCCACGGAGGTGTCCTGTAGAAAACACCTTTGCACAATACGTTAGTTGGATCATGGTCGGATGTTTGTTTATGTGCACCCTGTTAAGCAACGTGCGTCGTCGCGGTTCTGATGTTCCACAGCAGTTTGATGGTGGCCATAATGGACTGGATGTGGAACGTTTTTTTTTTTGTGGAGGTAATTTGGAGCCCACTCTTGTCCGAGATCTATTAGTAGGTAGAAGGTCATGTAGGCCTTTAGTTAAGTGTTTTGCTATGCTCGAAGACTAGCATTATAGCTCTATGTAGACGCGAGGGCGTGAGACAATTTTTTGCGCTTGGCACTTGATGGCGTGCTTGTTGTAGGACGCTCGGAGAATAAAAGGGCTGACGCGTGTATGTGTGCAAGTCTCTGCACAAGGTTAGCGGACGGCTGCAACGAACATGTAGTCTTAGGGCGTAAAGATTGGAATATATATGTGAAACACAAGCAAGCAACACTTCTCAAAACTGTCGTCGGCCTATCAACGGCCCGTACCCAAACCTAGCCCAAGGTCGCAACCTTCCCAAATAAATGGCTACGACCTTGCCAGGCCTATTAACCCTGCCGCTGGCGTTCAAACATCCTTCCTTGCACAACGTCGATATGCGTAGCCAAGGTCGATGTGGGTACCTTGGCAGGGTCTTGACCTTAAACAAGGTGGCTTTCAAGCCGAACCTTGCCCCGGTGCCGACCTTGTGCAGGCTACCAATGATGCACGTTGGCAGGGTCTTGTGCGAGGGCAAGGTGGCTTTCATGCGCACCCTGTCCATGTCCCGACCTTGTGCAAGGTTGGGTGGGGGGGGGACCTTTCATCTTTGGGGGCGTAGCTACAGGGTCGACCCCCCCCCCAACCTTGTGGCTGAGCCGAATGGCCACGGGTGATGTTATTTCTCTTTGTAGTTCGGTACAGACAAATCATCATCATCATCCACGAAGAAGGAGATACAAAAGAAAAGGCGGCCGCGCCGTCGATCGATCGCTAAAACAACTACCGACCGCCGTCGCGAGGGTTTAATTATTCATCTATCTATGATATAGAAGTAGTCTAGAGAGGGGGGTTTCGTATCCCTATCCCTCATCCCGTACCCGCGAAGCTTAAGGGCGCGGGGGGGATCGCCGTACCTCCTCTGAAAAATCCAGGAAACGCCTGCATATCTCGGTTTTCCAAAGTCTAACTGCAGTACGAAACTACCATCGAAAATTAACCGTCCGCAGCGGTCGCTTGTGTACAATGTTAGTAGCTGAGGTTGTACCCCTTGCGATACACTACAGACTAGCGGTCCGCGATTTTCCAAACGATCCTTCTATCATCGAGTTCGGTGAGCTACAAGCTAGATTTTTGAAGCTGCTGTGCGGTCCAATTTTGAAACGCTTCAAGCACCTTTGCCTAAAGGCTGGACATGCATATACATGACCCTAGGTATTCAAATCGACAATGGCGACCAGCTGGATATGTGAGGGAAGAGCTGCGCTGAAGTTC